GTTGGGAGGTCACTGGGGTTTTCCCTAGATCTGTGATATCCCCTACTTTTCTTTCATTTGAATTCCTTAAATAATTGTTCATATTTTGAGCCATTCCCATTTGATTTTCCCATGTCCAATCGTGAAAACCTAAACTTTGAAATCTTGAAAACAAAACCACCTGATCTTAATCGAGAGTTTTCTTAAGTGATTTCGATCATTTAAGATGTAATTAACTATAGGGGCTTGCCTCTATAGGGAACCAGGAACCCAGATAAAATAAACCCTATCTAATTTTTATGTTAGATAGGGGAACTTGTTGGCCTTTTTATAAAATATTTCGCAGATCAAAACGGATGTCACAAATTGTTTAGTCTAGATGATTAAATCCCTATTACAAGTAATATATTTATTCTTCGGGATAAGTGTATTGCTTGTAGTATTGTATTAAATCATCTAAACTATTTAAAAATGTGAGACTCGTTTGGTCTCACTTATTTTAAAAATTAAAAAACATTACTACTTTAAAAAAGTTATATTTATATTTAAATTATTTTCAAAATCACAAAATCATCACCGTTTCCAAACTACGAAAGTGAAGTTGAACAATAAAACGGCCGACAGCGTTAAATGTTGGCCTTCAAAAGAAAAGCATTATACTAAGTTAAGTGTTGAGAGATGAGAATGAATAGGTGGATGAGTGGCTTTACACTTAGAGACAAAATGTGAAATAAATATATCCGTGATAGGGTTGGTGTAGCTCCAGTGAAGGACAACATTAGAGAGAATCGTCTTAGATGGTTTGGTCACATTAAACGTCGACCATCTGATGATCCGATTAGGAGAGTAGATGATTTAGATTCGACTTATGTTAAGAAAGGCAGAGGTAGACCTAGAAAGACTTGGGCTAATTGTATAAAAAATGATCTTAATTTATTAGAACTAAATGAAAATATGGCACTAAATAGGATGCAATGAAGAAAAAAGATTCATGTAGCCAACCCCACATAGTGGGATTAAGGCTTTGTTGTTGTTGTTGTTGTTGTCGTCGTCGTCGTCGTCGTCGTCGCTTTTATATGATTAAGAAACTAAATTGCTATAAAAATAAACATCAAACATCATGTGTTAAATATGAAAATATATAAGAATTGTGTGGTATGCATGTAAATTCCCCAAATATAAAATGGCGTAGAATAAATTGGTTGATAATAATTTCCTATTAAAACTTCCAGAATTACAAATGGCTGGTAATTAATCAATTAAATACTAGCATTGAGATCAAGAAGCAATATACCTTATTATCTTTCCAATCTTCTTAAAAGCAGCACCATCTTTGCAAATAGATATGGCCCTTTCCAGGCATTCTTTAGTGACCTAAATAAATAATCAAAAAGAAATAGCTAAGCAACTTCCGATCAATGAATTCATTCTATACTAATACTAACAAAAACGAAATGCAGATTTACTATTCAAGATCGTGCACGTAAAAATGTCTAAAAAGTTAAAGGTGCAAAAACAAAAACAAAATAGTCTCGGTTACTTAAAATAACTGATACATGGGAGTATCATTTTGCTAAATAAACGATGTACTACATATAAAAACCCTAAATGCTATATCGAAGTATACACAAACAAGCAAACAAGTGCCTACACACAGTAAAATATTAAGGGAAAATTACATACATAGCACCCAATTCTTATGGATTTACCTATCTCACACCTAAACTTTCATTTTTACACACATGACACTTTACCTATGAATGAAAAGGATGGATTTGACTATTAAAAGAAGATAATGAGTGCTACTTTTCATATGATGTTTGTAATTATGAAAGTCTAGATGTGAGATAGGTAAATATGAAAGTTTTGGCTGCTATGTATTAAAAGCCCCAAATATTAATTATTCAAGAGTAATGTAGATTCAATCTAATAGAAATTAAATCTGCCAAAAGGAAATTTATCTCAAAATAGATAGAATTTTTCACAAGCAACATATGGACAGATTGACCAATTTTATTCATATATTTCAAGGTAAAAATAAACCACAAATGGGTTTGAAATATCATATCCACTTTTTATAGAATGACTTTGAGTAGAACATATAGACTTAGACTACCATATTTTTAAGGATAGGGACTCTTATCTTCACACATTTATATCATTTCTCCACAATTTTAACTGGTTAAGATTTAAAGAAAATCTCCCTGCCTTTCCTATTCCTAGGGTAAAATTAATTAAAATATATTTTCAATCAAATGACATAACTTGTACGAGGATAACTTTTATGCTTCTAAATATAACCCGTGCAAAAAATACTGAAGCTATGCAAACATGTTCATCTAGTTCAGCTGAAGTAGCAAATACGGCCAAAAGCTTCGACAATTTGTATCACTACATGAGTAGCCTTTTTTTTATACTTCCGTGCATTACAATAACATCAGAAATTAGACCATAATAGCCATAGAAAATAAAACCTTAAATTTTCTTTAAATTTTCTTAAATGTTCAACGCAAAATTATCACGAGCAGCAAGGGAGCTTCAGCACAAAAATACCTTTACAAGTCGTTTTGTTGGTTCATCAACCTCTCCACAAAGAAAGGTTTTTGAGGTGTCTCCATGGTAGCCCTAACAAAAAAATTCTCAGAAAAATATATGTAAGAAAGAAATAGAAAATATACAATGCATGCAACTACCAAAATGGAATCATGAAAGACTCAGAACCCGACTTATTCAATTAGCAAAGAGAAGATCAAATCATGAAAATATATCTATAGAATTAACCACAGCCTGGTAGTTATAAAACTATTGGTAGCACTTCATAAACTTTTATTCTTATTTTCCTATGGAAGACATAAGAAAATGTAGCACCAGAACAATGATGATGAGCAAATTACTGGTAAATGATAAGCTATTGCAGTCTACTATAAAATTCTTGTAAATTTTATATTCAATCGCTACTGATTTCCATTTTTTGAGCTTCAACTGTACACTAAGTTATCCTATTTTTAAGACGTTCAAAATGTCCAGCTTCAAAATGTATAATTGAATCATTAAACTTTCTCGGCTGTTACAAACTTTCTATGAACAATGGTTAATGACATTTTTGCTTATTTCAAAATGCAATATGTTAAAACTGCTAGATGCTTTCAAAAGGTTAACAAAAAAGTAAATCACCAGTCCAACTTTATGCTTAGCAGCAATTATATATATTTCAAACAAATACAGCATCCTACGGAAGACAACAAAGCTATAAGATCTCATGGCTTCGAGTTACTGCATCTCTACACGGGTCTCCACATAGAAGTGTCAAAGCTTGAGCACAAAAAAGAGAGTGAGCACATAAAAAGTAAAGTACGAACTTGTAAACTTAGAAGATTATGTTCTGAGAGGGAAAAAGAGAAGTGTTGAATCCCAGATATGCACAACAGATGCAAACTTATCAACCGGTAACATTAGGATATTTATTGGGTCATTTATTGTCCATCATTAAGATCTTAGAAGCAACTAAAGGATGAGCAAAAGACAGAAATACATCTTAAGCGCAGACATAAGAGAAAGAGAAGGGCATATGCTTTATGAATGTTTATAATTGAGGGAAAAAAGAGCATACATTAAGATAAACAGTCACATCGATGTTTATAATGTCACCATCCTGCATTTGGCCATGAGGATTTAGTCAAAGAAAATTTTCAAATCCAACAATTCAAATAAGTTTTTGAAAATATAAGCAGTATATTGGCATCTTACAAACCTGGAGCTGGCGTGAATCAGGTATACCATGACACATGCATTCATTAACTGACGTGCATACACTTTTAGGGAATCCACCGTATCCAAGGGGTGAAGGATAAGCTCCAGCATCAATGATCATATTGTGCACTGCTATATCAATTTCATTTGTTGTTATAGAGGGCTGCATAAGCACATCATGGGTAGTGTTAATAGCTCATAAAATAATAAAAAAGAAGACAAATAAATTAAGAATTTCCATGCCCCAACAAAACACAAATAATTAGAGAATTTAATCTATTGTCTCAAAGGAGAAATGTAAAAAAAATACTTTTTTTATAGAATTAGACAATCTCAAGGAGTGAAGAGATAATGTGTCAACTGCGATTACATATAAACATCATCCTTTCATATTAATAATGCAAAATAAACTTTCAAAGCATGATGACAAAGGGTAATGGTGTAAATGTGCACTGACACAAAACAGCAGAGTTGAGTTTTACCATGACCAACGTTCCTGCAAAATCCAGAACTCGAGCAGAAAGCTCACAGGCAGCTCTCATTTGAGCTATGCCCTTGTCATCATGAATTTGATATGCATTAGAAAGTTCTGGCAACTTGTTTGAACCAACATAGGGTGGCTTTAGAATATGATCTGGCACAGGAAGACGTCCAGAAACCTTCCCACGTCTCAATGGTTGCCTCTTCCTTGATTTTGTGTTCTCATTTAGCTCTCGCAACCTTAAGGTATTCAAACATAGAATAAAAGGAAAAAAGCAGTAAATCACTTGTACAAATTCTTATCAGTTTGGTAAAATAGCAAATAACGACATCAGTGAAAAAAAAATGCGAGAAGTAATAAAAAAAATGATCGCAAGTTGGCCATAACTTTCCTGATTAAAATAGCTGAAGGCCCTTCAAAGAATAAGTTACAAAGGAAGTGCCCACTTGTTTGTCGGCAGCTAAAAAGAGTTATGTTCGGGGGTCGCCCGTAAGAAGCTGTCGGTCGCCGGAATCGAAATCCCGTCGCCCGCTTCGGAAGGACATTTTAATTTAC